TGTTAGTCTGAATCTGCAAAAGCTACGAAAAGTCCTGTGGCACCTTAGCACTTGCACCCTCTTTCAAGAGAGGGATACAAATGAAGACATTCAAAATTGCAAATGGAGCCGGGATTTAAATATCCCGCTCTTCATTTGTGTAATTGCATTATGGCGCTATTTCGAAATACAAAAAGTGGTGTAGATGCAGTTATTTCGGGAGAACGCCCTTCTTCTGAAATAACTGTTAAACCTCACTATTGTGCTATGGTAAAAATAAATAAGCATGAGAAAGACTGGTTTTAATCAGGTGCAGAAGTTGTTGGCCAGTATTAAGAATTTGCTAATAATATCTAGAAAAGGAACATTACAGGTAATATATTTGCTGTTAATTTAAAATTCAGTCAATATGTTGTGGGCCAGTGCCAAGGTTTCTGTAATTTTCCAAGTTTGGTTTGTTGCAAATGTGGTCCACGTTTGCATTTAACTAGTCATAGACTAGGCTGGCAGGTCTTGCATTTTTACCCAACAGATGATTCATGAAATATTAATTCCTTCTGCAGTCAGGAATAAAACCTGCATAGTTTTATTGATGGGATCTTTGACAATCTTGGATTTAATTATTGATAGAGCTGCTGTGCAAACGATACCAATGAGAGCTTTAGGTTGCAACATGCAATTGGATACATTGTACATAAACAAGGACTAGCCTGTTCTTCCTTGATTTTTTTAATGTGTTGTTGAGTCACAGAAAAAAAAATATTCCATAACTGTTATCTCTGTTGTGGCCAGGCATTCGGAATATGCACAAAACTTTGGAACATTTATTCAGGATAGGAGCATAAACTCTGCTTCCTTGTCTACAACCATTAGTTCTTTTTGTGTTCCCGCTGAATCCTTTCAATCCCCTATACATTGACTGAGTTTACTCAACACACAATGACATACACTACTTTGTTTCTAACCCTACATACCTATTATACTTTTTTTAAAAAGCTGAAAGAGCATTATTAAGATTGCAAGGTTAATCCCTCAAAATTAGGCAATGTCAGAATTAAGGTTGCCTAAAACAGAGTCCCACTATTCCATTTTTTCAGACTCACTTTTTAGAGATTTTGCTCCAAAATTCCTAGATTGTGATTTTAAACGGTGCAAGTAATCATTAGGAATTAAATGACACGGGATGTGACATTTCTTCTGTTTTTTTTTCCCGTTAAGTTTGTCTCCAATGAGAAATGACATTTTAAAATGGAGACATTTGAAATCACTTAGGCTCAGCTTCATGGTTTTAGTTGTAACCTCTCTTTCCCCCAATTGATGTGAGGTGTAGGCTTTGCCAGTTTATAATTCATGAGTCTCTTGTTCTGTGAAAATCAGACTGGGGAGAATACTAAATTAAATGCTTCTTAAATCCAATAGGCAGCTCACTTGATTGGCTCACCATACTTTAACCTTCAGGCTACCCAACTCTTTGTTTGGAAAGTGGTAAATCAAATTAAATGAACCCAAGATAAAGAGCCATGAGCTTAAAACATTGTTAGCATGGTCTTTTATGCCTTTAAAGAGTCATTGTCTTGGTCTTATATGTGAAATCCAATCCATCACTCCATTTTGCTAGCCACCAACACTAGATAACCATATAAGGAAACTAAATGTTTCTACAGTTGCCTTATTGGAAGAGTTGGTCCATCACAAAGCACTTGTGAATCACACCCTAATTGCAGGGCCTGTCAATACAGCTCCAGAATCCCAAGGCCAGGGCTGAATCCCAAGCCTAAGCCCCACCACTCAGGGCTAAGGTTACACGTCCCCTGGCCAAAGAAGAAGCCCTTGGACTTCAGCTTCCCCACCACCATCACCCAGGGCAGCAGGGCTCAGGCAGGCTCAGTCTTTAGCTCCCCATTCAGGGGTCATGTCGTCATTTTGTTGTCAAAAGGGGGTCACGGTGCAATTTGAGAATCACAGATCTAGTCTGACCTTTTGCATATCCCAGGGCACCAATTCTGCATAGCACTCACACACCAAGCCGAAGGAGCAGGGGCTGCAGTTCACATTCACTGTTGAATCAAACATTCCCTCTCATCATCAGGCCATGGGGACAGAGCTATAGGGGGGTAGAACATATATGGTCACATTCTTGAACCCAACATCTTAACTGAAATCAGGAGACAGAGATCAGAAAGGAAATTATGTAAAAATAAACAGAGAGACTTATAGCTCAGAATCTCTCCTTATAGGGTACATCTACACTACTGGACAAAGTCAAATTAAGATACGATAATTGCGTAGCTGAAGTCGAAGTAGCTTAGTTCAGCTTTTGACGCTGTCTGCACTGTAGGAAGTTGAAGGAAGAACACTTTGCTTTCAACTTCCCTTACTCCTCGTGAAAGCAGGGTTACCAGCATCGACTGGAACTCCCCTCTCACTTTGAATTAGCTGTCTTAACTAGACCACTAATTCGAAACCTGGAAGATTGACAGTAGCAGCTTTGATCTTCCTCTGTAGCAGGGGTTCCCAAACTTTTTGACACCGGGGACCAGTAAATCCATTCACGAGGTTTTGGAGGACCTGTAACATTTATTTGCATATTCATTAAGCAAATAATAAATATACAAATAAATTGTTTCTGGTCCTCCCAAAGCCCCCAGGTCCAACTTTAGCCCACAGAAAAGTCAGTCGTGGCCACACAGGTGTGATACCAAACACAACCCCTCTAAACCCCTCAAACTTCACTCATGTGGCCCCCAATGGTGCTTGTGTGTGCTGGGACAGAGTGCTGGGGAAGGGTGCCAATGAGTGATAGGGCAGGGGACAGGGCGCTTGTGAGTACTGGGGACAGGGGAAGTCTGGGGGGAGGGGAAGGGGACAGGGACCGATACCTGGGGATCCTGTAGCTGCCAAGGCGCAGGAAGCTCACGGGCTGCTCTCCCATCCCCCAAACAGCGGCGTGGTACCTGACATGCTGGTCCCCGCGGAGAGGGGGAGTCCTGGACCGTGCCAGCCTCAACTGCATGGGCAGCGCGCATCTTGCTCCTCCGCTCCCCATGACAACATGCGCCGCCCAAGCATCTGGAGCTGGTGCAGTCCCGGATCCCCACCCACTCCCCAACACACAGGAAGGCAGCAAGGGAACAAAGTCCCCAGCGTGCAATGGACCGGCATTTTAGGTACCGTGCCTGCTGTTGGGGCAAGGGGGAGAGCAGCTTGCGTACTTCCGGGACCTGGCGTGCAGCTGCAGAACTGCCCCCAACCCAGCAGGAAGTCCGCGCTACCTCCGTGGTCTCAGGAGGGAGGTAACATCAGCGCAGCTTGCATCTTGGGGGCTAGGGGTAGGAAGGTGGGCTCTCTTGCAAAATTTTTTCTGAGGCCTGGTATTTTTTTGCCACGGACCGGTACTGGGCCACGGACCACAGTTTGGGAAATGCTTCTCTGTAGTATAGACGCATCTAAAAGTCTGTGTTACGGGGAGGCTTAATTAACCCGCATAAAAGGGAGGAGGAAAGGAAAACCTAATAGGCCAAATTGTCCTGTTTACTAAGGCTGCTTTATGGTTCATATAGCAGAGACAGAAGGAGTGGATATGTTAGGGGAACTTTACTGTACCTGTTCCTTCACTGGGATCTTAAGCTAGTCTTTTCTGCTGCTCTAATGTTTGCTGCTGGGCTGGTAAGGATCAAGGAGCCAGAATTGGTTTTCTGTTTCCACCACTCTGCACAGCTTGGACCAGGGTTAGATTTAGGGACAGTTGACCCAGGCAATTGCTTGTGGCACTAGATTTGGGGGGTGCTGGGATCAGGGTGCTAGTTTTATTGTTAATGACAAAAGGAAAAATAGAATGTTTGAAGTAAAATGTGTCAGGTATTCCGTATCTGGGGTCATTTTCACTGACCTCCTAGAATGTTCTGTATCTTTGTAGAATTTCATGGAACCTTCCAGAGTTTCTGGGAATTACGTTTTCCTCAAACTTCATAGAATGCTGTCAGCCATGTCCTTATGGATATGTAAGGGAGCCTTGCCAGTCAGTGAGATGTCAGAATGAATTTAATTAAAGTGACAGCGCAACTGTGATATTCTGAATCTTGTTTTATTGCATCATTGTGAAAATGTACTTGTGTTTTACCATTTGAAGAGAGTTAGTAGAGACTAACAGAATACATTTAATGATATGCCAGAGATATCTATCAGACACCTATCCACGCAACAGTATAAAAGATATGCTGCTACTTCTTTTACTAAGCTTAACATGTAATGTTGATGGCTTTCTAAGACTGTGGAACATAGCCAGTATTAAGGAGCACACAACACTTTGTTTTCTCCCACAGAAAAACAAAAGATGTCTCCAAAGAAGCCTTCAGGAGCTCAATATAGCAAACACCAATGTTGGTGCACAAATCAATTTATTAATGTTAGTAGATTTCAGTTGCTCTTAAAATTAAAGTTTCTAGAAGCCTAGAGGAAATGATTTTTTTAATTTGCTTAGGTATGGCACGAATAAATACAGACTTACAGATCCTAGCTTGCAAATTTATATTCTTATATAATAGGGATAAGTCTTGTATACAAATTGTGCATCAAAGTCATGAAAAGGACTTCAAATGCAATACAAATAAAGTATTTAAATATTTAACAAATGGAGGGAGGGCACCAAAGATGCTCCTTGCCTGGAGTGCCATTTGGTGTAAGGTTGGCTGGCCTGTCGTGGACACAGTGGAGAATCAGGGCCGTAGAAGGTAAGCAGTACCTCCATGTATCTGTAGCACTGCCCAGAACACATCTGAGTTTGGCCCCTTAGACATAGTAGTGATTAGACCCATTTCTGGGCAAAATAGTCATAGGAATAAACATTTTGATAAAAATGTGGCTGTTTTAAATGTTTTAAAATGTTTATAAATGGCAACATTTGGGAGATTTTTTTAAAAAAAAGACAAATTTTCATATAGCATATTTTCTATTGTGAATTTTATTGTAAAATCAAAAAGCCACTTTTGCCTAAATAGTGTTTTGCACTAACTTAGCACATTTACTACCAGGATTGAATTATGCATCACAGTCCCATGTAGGAGGTGAGAAAATCTCCAGAGTAATGCAGGTTGAATCTTGGCTCCCTGAAATGGCTCAGATAAGTGTTTCCTCTTTTGCATTCTGGCAAGTCTACAAAAAAAAAAAAAGAAAAAAAAAAGCAAGTCATCTCCAATAGAGCTATCAAAAACAGATCACACAAACTCTAGATCCAGTGACATTAGCTGACTCATCAAGCTGATTTGCTAAATACAGTAGTCACTATTGCTGATTTTTGAAAGCCATTGCCCTCAGCTGCGCTCCTGTATGTCTCTGACAGGAGGCGTTCTGTTTCCAATCTGGTAGCTGCTTTAGGCTCTATAATTTGTTTTAAAATATGTTTATCACAAAGGATGCAGTTTTTTGCAATGGCATGTGCTTTTCACTGTTCTGTGCTTTGAATAGATATCAGAGAAACACAGGAAGGACATACATGCTGACACTGATAGCCTGAGGACTCAAGTCTTGTTGATTTTGCAAGGCACTAGATATCCCCTGAAAAAAAAGTGTCCAGTTTATTTTTCAATGATGGCTATTTCATTCCTGTTAAGACTTCATATTCTCTGTTGCCAGCACTTCAGAATAAACTACATGCTGTGGTTTCAAATCAGTCAATGCAAATCTATTTGGCACATATTTGCCAGGTGGGGGGAGGGGCATTCCTTAGCCATCCTTGGAACAATTTGCCTCATGCTTTTCTGCTAAAAGATCCATCTTTGTGAGTCAGCCCTTGGAAAACATTGAATGACATAGGCAACACTGTCACATGAGTGACTTTGGACTTTATTGATCACAGCCAGTGCTTTTCATGGTTTCCATGCATAGCCTGTTGCACCATGTGTCTGTTATTTAATGGGACTTGTACTGTTTTCTCTGCGGTAAATCTGGGCATACATACAGGTGCAAGTTTAATACTCCTTATTAGTAGAGGCTCTAGTAGTGTGATAGACATTTTTACAATGAATTTATAGCGGGCATTCTCAAGTGATGTTGATACAGTAGGCTTATATACTGTATCCATTTGTTTTTATCATCATTTCAAATTAGAATTGCCTTGTTCCCTCCCCCCAAATTTTACGTTTTGCATAACACCTCTTCATTCCCTCTGCATCCTCTGCTCCAATCAACTGCCACACGTAGCATAAAAGACCTTTTACAGAATTACTGTTTCTGCATGTCACCACTTTGCAAGTATAAACTTTTATTTTAGCAAAAGTGACTCTTCCAATTTTGTCCTACTTCCATGCAAAGCATTCTCTACCCAGGAATTCCACTAAAAAAACAAAACTTTGCCACGCTGAAACAAAATAACAAAACATTTCTCAAGCCTCAAAGGAATAGTGGTGTTAGTCTGTATCTGCAAAAACAACGAGGAGTCTAATGGCACCTTAGGGCACGTCTACACTAGTAAATTATTTTGAAATAACTTATTTTAAAATAACTCCCAAAATAATAATTTTGAAATAGCATGTACATACTGCACGGAAGCCTCGAAATTTGTCCAAGGCAGGCTCCCTTAATATGGAAGTGGTACCTCAACTTAGAGCCCCAGGTAGCACTGAGGAGTAATTACTCTGAATAACGCTGGGGAGTAATTATTTGGAAATAGCAGCAGTGGAGCATCCACACTACTGCTGTTTCAAAGTAACTATTTCGAAATAAGAATTATTCCTTGTGGAAAGCAGGAGTTGTTATTTCAAAAGAACCAACCCCTTATTTCGTAATAACAGGCTTGGTAGTGTGGATGCTCCACTTGTTATTTTGAAATAAGGGGATTTATTTTGAAATAACTCCCTAGTATAGGACAGGGCTTAAAGACTGAGGATAAATCTACACAGCAGTGTTATATTGGAATAACTGATGTTATTTCGAAATAACAAAATGCGCATCTACACAGCAAGCCATTATTTTGAAATAATGTCAAGATGAAGGACTTCTTACTCTAACTCCTGTAACCCTCATTTTACTAGAAGTAAGGGAAGTTGAAGGAAGCGTGTTCTTCCTTCAACTTCCTGCTATGTAGATAGCGCCAAAAGCCAAATTAAGCTATTTTGACTTCAGCTACGCAGCTGACATAGCTGAAGTTGCCTATCTTAAGTTGATTTTTGCCCTGCTGTGTAGATGTACGCTTACAGATTTATTAGGGCATAAGCTTTTGTGGGTAAAAATCACTTTGTCAGATGCATTGGTTTTGCCCATGAAAGCTTTTGCCCTAATAAATCTATTCGTTTTTAAGGTGCCACAAGACTCCTTGTTAAAACATTTCTCGAGCATTTTGCTGAAGTTGCCTATCTTAAGTTGATTTTTGCCCTGCTGTGTAGATGTACGCTTACAGATTTATTAGGGCATAAGCTTTTGTGGGTAAAAATCACTTTGTCAGATGCATTGGTTTTGCCCATGAAAGCTTTTGCCCTAATAAATCTATTCGTTTTTAAGGTGCCACAAGACTCCTTGTTAAAACATTTCTCGAGCATTTTAAACCAGTCCAGCAGGTTATGGTCCTGCTGATGTCAGGAAAAAAATGTGGCTGCTGAGAACCCTTTTTCTGGACTGAAACAAAGCTGCATCATTTTGAGTTCATCCATCCACCTTGCCAGGAAGCCTTAAAATTGGTTTTATGTTCAAAACAGTCACAAAAACCACATCATCTTCCTTGAAGAAAGGTCTCATACTGGGAAATGTTTGCCCCAAATAGACTTACTATGTTTTTAGTTTCAAAGACTCCAGTGCAGGAATATGTGTTGGTTTCGATGCCTACATAACATCCACATTGCTGCCAGCAGAGAGGAAGTGCCTTCTCAGAATAAAGAATAATTGCTGCCATAGCAGAACGTAGGAGGCTAATGAGGTCTCTAAAAGAATGTTGCTACGAACATATTGCAAAGAATATCTAACACAATAGAAATTAAGCATTTACTGTGAATGTGTGTCTTTCCTGGGGTTTATAGCAGATCCTTAGCATTATTTTAATGGTTTTTGTGGTGAATATTTACATTGAAAATTAATGAAGAATATTGGCAGGGATTACATTTGTGATATTCAGAATAATTCTAGGCTTGCTGATGACTTGGTATCTGCAGAGCTAGCAGACGGGAAAAAGATTTCGAAATGCACCATGTCACCCATGTTGCAATCATTGCTCTTTCACTTAGATACCCAACAAAATACCCAATGTATGTTTATCAGCAAAACAGATTTATATGTAGAAGATCACAAGTGTAGACTTTTAATTGTTCACGTTGTTTTAACCTAAATTTCACCCTAGTTAAAACACCAAAGCAAGAATTTTGACAGAAACTCATTCATTTTTTAATTTTCAGAGATAAAAATTATTAAAGGCAAAATGTCAGGAGACACCAACCCTACACCAAAAAAAATCCAGTTGCTTGAAGAAGCAGAATATGCCTGTTTTCCCCAACTCTGAACATTTGGGCATCAAAGGTATAACTTACCAACGAAGTCTGCCAGTGTTTAATTGAGGAACTCCCACAAAAATGTCTCCCTCTTAGTCTGTAATAAATCCTGTTTCCCAGGAGTGCTGTACTTGCAGAGAAGAGGAGTGTGGAAAAAGGGAGTTTACTAATTTATTTTCCCATTTAACAAAATGTTTTACCATAATCAAGAAATTAGGGTAACACAAGTAGGCAAATAATCTTACAAGTAAGTGCACTTCACTGGAAATATTTATGTATTTTCCTAAAACATATACAGCAGAAGAATCTCTCTGGTATAGCACTCTCTGGTCTGGCAACATCTGTAGTCTGTCATGATTTTATTTACCCAGATGACCACTTATTGTGGAGTGGCCAAGTTTTTTGCTATCCCATAAAATTTGTTTATAGCTGCTAGGCCTGGCTCTGTGCTATTATTGTGTTCTGATTTACCCCAAACTGTCTCCTAAGAACCCAGCAAGCAGTGGAAGTGCTGGTAATGCTGTTAAGCAAAAACATGGCTTTTGTGCTTTATCTACTTATATCCTTGTACCAATACAGTAACATTTTGTAACAACACTAACACTTTGTTATGAAGAGAGCTGATGGGTGGTGTGGGAAGGCGCTGCAGGCTGGGCATGGGGTTGGCGGTGCCAGCACCGGGAGGGATTTTGGATGCAGGGGGGCTCAAGGAGGGAGTTAGGGTGCAGGAGGGGGTTCTGACCTGGGACAGTGGCTTGGAGTGTAGGAGGCGGTTCAGGGTGCAGGCTGTCACTGGACAGCATTTACTTCAGGGAGCTCCCACTCTGTGGTGCAGTGGAACTAAGGCAGGCTTCTGGAATTCCAGCGATGGCACCTTGCAGTGCCCCCACCTTTGGTACATATTAGCCAGCTTGTTAACAACACTAGAAAGCCAGGGAGGGGGCCGGCTCTACAAACAATGGAAAGAAGTCCCTGCTTGTAAAGTAGCAGAGCCTGCAAAGGAGCAAACTCACTGAGGTCATTTAAACATTAACTAGTGCAACGTTCCCTGGGCATTCATGATTTCCATTGATATTCTGATCAGTCACTTTTCCCAGGCCTTGCAAGTAAGGCGGGTAGCATGTGCAGGGAGTGTGGGGTTTCTCTCTGCGTGGTACCACATCTCCTCCCTGCCCTCCCACACAGCAGGAAAGGCATGTTAAGGTTGTAAAGTCAGACACTGAAACATGAGAAAATGCCAGAAGAAAGGATGGATACTCTCCTGCGGATTGCTGTGCCCTGCCCAGGCATGTGCCGGGAAGGTCCCAGAGCGGATTTCATCCCACTCTCTGGGAAGCCCGGCAGACGAAGCCAGGCAGGGTCAGGGCATGGAGTCCTTCACATGTCTATGGAGCATTTAAGAGCATGGTCTGTAAGGCTTCGCTTCGTCCATCCTAGAAGAGAAGCCGAGATAGGGTTGCCAGGTGTCCGGTATGCTACTGGAATACCTGAGCGAAGAGGGACTTTGGCAGCAAAGTCTGGTGGGAAGCACGGTGGGGCTAAAGCAGGCTCCCTTCCTGCTTTGGCTCTGCGCCGCTCCCGGAAGCAGTGGCGCATCTTCCCTCCAACTCTTATGTGCAGGGGGCTCCGCATGCTGCCCCCTCCCCATGTGTCGGCTCAGCAACACCCATTGGCTGGGAACTCAGACCAATGGGAGCTGTGGGGGTGGCACCTGTAGATGGCGCCGCATGCAGAATTGCTTGGCCACACCTCCACGTAGGAGCCAAAGGGGGTGACATGCTGCTGTTTCTGTGAGCTCCTTGAGGTAAGCACTTCCAGAGTCTGCACCCCAACTTCCTCCTGCACCCCAACCTCCAGCCCTGATCCCCCTCTTGCCACTGGACCCTTCAGTTCCAGCCTGCAGCCCCTTCCTGCACCCCAAACACCTCAGCCAGAGCCCTCATACCTCTCCGCACCTCAGTCCCCTGTCCCAGCCCCGACTCCCTTCCTTCCCTCCAAATCCCTTGCTCTCATCCTGGAGCCCCCTTACGCACTCCAAACCCCTTAGGCCCAGTCCCACTCTGGAGCCCAACCCCCCAGATGGAGCCCCACCCTCTCACATCCCAACCTCCTGTCCCAGCCCGGGGAAAATGGGTGAGTGAGGGTGGGGAGAATGAGTGATGGGGGGGTATGAAATGAGTGGAGGGGGGGCTGAAAGGAGGGGTAGGGCAAGGATGAGGCCTTGGAGGAGCGGTAGGGCAGGGGGCGGGGCAAGGGAGCTCAGTTCTGTGCAGGTAGAAAGTTGGCCACCTCAAGCACAGAGCTGGCATCTAGCGCAGGTCTGGCACCCAGCACAGGTTGAAACCACTTCTCCGCAGGTGTGAAACCCCTGGGTTGAGCTCCACGCTCTGTGTTTCTAGGCAAAGCCCAGCAGCAGTGGGAGCGTTAGTCACCAGCACTTGCTAGTAGAGGGAACTATAGGCTATAAAGCTCCGGCTTAATAAGATAAATTTAATATTCCTCCCCTTGCCTTCCTAGTGGGCCCTGCCAGCCCATGGTGTCCCTGCAAACACTGGAGGTGGGGGTGTAGAAATGTCCCCTCTCATCATTCCCATCTCAAGGCCTTGCTGACTCCCCACAAATTCGGTCTGCCTCCAGCTTCAAGTCGGGGGAGCCTTAGGTAGGCAAGTAACTGAGCCAGTTTGAAGCTAGACAGTCACTGGGCGGTACTGAGACAAAACAGGATGTGCTTCGGTCTAGTATCATGGATGGAGGATGCCGTTTGGAAAAGTGCACATGTCCATCCCCCGCCGGCACAACCTCGCACAAACCCTGCACGTGGGGGACGCAGCATTGTCCTCTTCAAAATGGCACCCTTATGGTGGGGAGGGCCCACGCCATTCCCAGGCACACTAAAACGTCTGGTGTTTTGGAAGGGGTGGCGGCCCTACCAATGAGGTGAGGACTGGACATTGGACTGGTCAAGCTGAGGATCAGTTTTAGAAGCTGAGGCGGCAGGAGGAAAGATGCACTCTGCTGGATGGCTTTGAGTCACAGGGATTTGCACTGGGGATCCTGCTCAACTTTCCTGCCAAGAGGTGCTTATTAACCCTCTTCACTTTCTGTTGTCACATATTCTGCACCATTGTTGTTCACCGATAAGCAGCTGCTGCGTTCCACTCTGTAAGTAGTCGCACTTTGGAGAGAGACAGTACAGAGGGAGACTGAGGAACTGGAATTCATTAACAAATTCAACACTATCCACTTGGGTTTGAATAAAGATATTACTTGGTTAACGCACTACAAAGGCAATTTCCCCTGCCTTTGATATTCACATTTCCGCATCCAAAGCTATGCACAGGACTCATCCAGCCTGACTCAATTATCGCAGTTAATATTGTTCCTGCTTTTGCTGTTATATATACTCTGGATTCTGTCATTTTCACTCCAACTCATCTGATGAAGTGGGTTTTACCCACAAAAGCTCATGATATAATATATTTGTTGAGTCTCTGAAGGTATGTCTACACAATAGCATTATTGCAAACTAGCTAACGTTATTCCAAAATAACATAGTGAGCATCTACTCTACAAGCCTTTATTTTGAAATAATGTCGTGCAGGAGGACTCCTTACTCCGGCTCATGGTAACTCTCATTTCACGGGGAGCAAGGGAAGTCAAAGGAAGAGTGTTCTTCCTTCAACTTCCTACTGTGTGGACAGCACCAGAAGCTGAATTAAGCTATTTTGACTTAAGCTACGCAACTGATGTAGCTGAAGTTGCATAGCTTAATTCAACTTGAGCCCTGCTGTGTAGACATACCCTAAGATGCTCCAGGACTACTCGTCATTTTTAAAGTTACAGACTAACATGACTATTCCTCTGAGACTTAATTCCAGTACAGTTTATAAAGTGCTTTGATATCCTTAGATTTGAAAGGGACTCTGTGAACAAAGGATAATATTATTAATGGTGTTATCAGTAACACGCTCTTTGAAGAACCCTGAGTCAAATTAAAATCCAGTGAAGTCACTGGTGTTCCCCTGAATTCACATGGGTGTCAGTGAAAGGTGAATCTAGCACATCGGCAGGAACAACTTCTGACCTAAACGGTGTGTTTCTGTGTACAGCCATGCAACAGTTTCTTTGCTTCCAGCTTCTAGGAGCATGTGTTTTTATCTCAAAGCAAAAACATATTCTCAAACGATCGCCTTCGATAACACTCAGAGTTAAGGCTGTGGCACTGATGAAAACAAACTCCTTGCATACGCAAAAGAAGAACATTACAACGAACCCCTCTCAGCCTTGGGCATTTTGAAAGATTGGACGTGTCCAGTGAAAGTAATTTATATAAATGATTTCATGAGCCTTATCCATTTGTGCATTTAGTTAAAACAATATTGACATGGAAAAAGTTACCAGGCATATTTCACAAATAACCTTAACTCTGCTCTGTAAGACATACTTAATACTCTTTCAACAGCTACATTGTTAGTTTAAATAGTTGTGTGAGTACATGCATGGATAAATATAAATTGCATTGACAGCTACCATCATTAAAAATCATGGGGTATGTCTACACTACCCCCCTAGTTCGAACTAGGGGGGTAATGTATGCATACCGAACTTGCTAATGAAGCCCGGGATTTGAATTTCCCGGGCTTCATTAGCATAAAGCCGGCTC